TTTACCCTCCAATGCCCTGCCATTGCATCCTGCGCAAGGGTTGGATTTTTCCCTCCTTTTCCTAGGAGGGAAAGCCATTGTACGTTCTTTATTACTATAAAGTAAGATAGAAGAACAGTTTTAATAAGGTATTCACAAATATTTGAAAACCCAGGACTGAATAAACTTCACTTACCTAGATTCAGAAATAGACATCTGAGCTTTAGCTGTAATACATAAAATAAATATATTTCAAAAATAATATATGTCTAACCAGACATAATCCTACCTGAGGCAATTTGAAACCAAATATTCCTGTTGATCCATAAATCCTTAACCAATCTAGAAACACAAGAAAGTAATTACAAAAGGATAGTGCAGTGGCACTATACCCTACCAAACTTAAACGTCTGTTCAACAACACACCAACCTATGTTGGAGATGCCATCAACCTGAGGGAGACTTCTCACATATCTGGTGGTAATGCCCCGAAGTCCAAAAATTCTGGTCCAGAATCTCTACACTTATTCAGAACATTTTGGGGGTGAACTTACCATTCATATCCAAAACCTTTGTATGCCACATACTCCTCTCACCCTCACCAAAGGTTCACACCGCACTAATCAAATACCTGCTCACTCCCCATCCATCAGAGAATGGATACAAAAAGTTGAGGGCATAAGAATCATGGAGGAGATATACTCTCCCTTTCCCAAAAATACCAAGTTTATGCAGACACCTGGGAACCATTGAAAAATCGTCAGGAGGCAAATGAAACTTAACCAAACAGTAAATGCCTTGAGGAGGTGCACTACACCAAACCTGCCCTTTTCCACTATTTAGACACAGGTACAGCCTGAGTAGCCAGGAGACGTACCATGTCCCCATCTCCTTCATCAATGACTACACCATATCCTTTGCCCTCTCCCCTCACACCTTTCATATGGTACCCCCAGGATAAGACCCCACAAACTAAACTGAACTCCACAGGCTACACTGAAAAGGAGAAGGGATCCTCCCCTCCCCCCCAACTATCATCACTTGGTGATGATACAAAATGATGTCAATAACTCATCTTCCTCTATGTTTGATCTATTACCCAGAATGGCAGAAAAAAGTGTATTGTTGATGAAAGAAGTTCACAAAAAAATAAAAAATAAAATATATATATATATAAATATATATATATATATATATAGTTCAAGTTATGCTACCATAAGGAGGGAGAGTTGGACAGAAGAAATGCTAGTAGAGACGCCTATGACAGTTGAGATTATTGTTAGAGTGAAGTAAGAGGAACTCAATACAATACAGGTTACATTAGAACAACATTATATGAAAATCTCATGTTATACCCACTGTACAATATACACTGCAAACTAATTTTTTCCAACTGTATAATCTGTACTTGATGTTATATGACAATAAAGAACTAATTAAAAAAAAAAAAAGGGGGCCTGGAGGTTTCAAACTAATTAGTATTTTTTTGGCCGCATAAACATACTTGCTGTGCAATAGCATCAGATGGAGGCTGACACTTAATTACAACATTAGAAATAAGTCCTAAATTGGTGCATATTCAAAGGATTTGAGAATAAAATTTAGAGGCCTATTGTTTACAAAAAAACAGGTAATCCTGATTCCTGCCATGCAATAAGTTATTTGAGCATTATATGTACAGTGGCTGTGCGTGTAAATACTTATTTTTGTTATATTTTAAAAATACGTGTAAGACCTTTGTAAACATACGCTTAAGAAGAGCCTTATTCCATAAATTCATACCTGCCAACACTAGTAGGGATGAAGACAGGGCCAGGGCTCGTGCAAGGAATTTTGGGTACATAGGCGAAGATGCATTTTTTTGTGTCTTTTAACCTCCCTTTTGTGTTTCTTATCCCCTCTTTTAAATGTCTTACCCCCTTTAGTGTATATTATCTCCTATTTTTTCCTTACACCTCCCTTTGGTATCTCTTACAACTCCCCTTGTGCTTCTCTTATCTCCCCTTTTGTATGACTCTTACATCCTCCCACATTTTGTATGTCTTACTCCTCCCAGCTTCTTTGTGTGACTTCTTCTCTCCCAGCCCCATGTGCCTTTTACTCTTCCCAGTTCCTTTGTGTGTGTCTCTTTCACCCCAGCCCATCTGTCTCCCCCAGCCCCTTTTCCCTTCTCAAGCCCCGCTGTGTGTTTCTTTCATATGCAGCCTCTCACTACTTCCTCGTGCGCCCTCTGTAATGCCGGGAGCCGGAATATGACGTCATTCCGGCCCCGGCATACAAAATGGCGCGCTGGAGGAGTGAGAGGCTGCCCCACACTGGATCCCAGGGAGGTGAGTGTATGACTGTGTGTGTGTCAGTGAGTAAGTATGTATGTCAGTGAGTGTCTGTGTGTTTGTGTGTCTGTCAGTAAGAGAGTGTATGTCTATCTGTCTGTCAGTAAGTGTCTGGGTGTGTGTCTGTCACTAAGTGAGTGTATGTATGTCAATGAGTGTCTGTGTGTGTGTGTGTGTGTTTGTGTGTCTGTCTGTCTGCCAATAAGTGAGTGCATGTATGTCAGTGGGTGAGTGTATGTCTGTCCGTCAGTGGGTATGTGTGTGTGTGTGTGTCTGTCAGTGAGTGAGTGTATGTATGTTAGTGAGTGTGTGTCTGTCAGTGAGTGAGTGAGTGTGTGTTTGTCAGTGAGTGTGTGTGTGTGTCTGTCTGTCAGTGAGTGAGTGTATGGATGTCAGTGAGGTCTGTGTCTGTCAGTGAGTCTGTGTGTATTTGTGTGTCTGTCAGTGAGTGAGTGTATGTCTATCAGTAAGTGTCTGTGTGCGCAGGTGTGTGTGTGTGTCTGTCAGTGAGTGAGTGTATGTATGTCAGTGAGTGTCTGTGTCTGTCAGTGAGTGAGTGTATGTCTGTCAGTGAGTGTGTGTTTGTGTGTCTGTCAGTGAGTGAGTGTATGTCTGTCACTGAGTGTGTGTTTGTGTGTCTGTCAGTGAGTGAGTGTATGTCTATCAGTAAGTGTCTGTCTGTGTATGTGCGTGTGTGTGTGTCAGTGAGTGAGTGCATGTTTGTCAGTAAGTGTCTGTGTCTGTGTGTGTGTGTGTGTGTGTGTGTCTGTCAGTGAGTGAGTGAGTGTGTGTCAGTGAGTGTATGTCTGTCAGTGAGTGTGTGTCTGTCAGTGAGTGTCTGTGTCTGTCAGAGAGTGAGTGTATCTCTTTCAGTGAGTGTGTGTTTGTGTCTGTCAGTGAGTGTATGTCTATCAGTGTCTGTCTGTGTGCGCGTGTGTGTGTGTCTGTCGGTGACTGCATGTTTGTCAGTAAGTGTGTGTGTCAGTGAGTGAGTGTGGGTCAGTGAGTGTGTGTCAGTCAGTGAGTGAGTGTGTGTGTCTGTGTGTCTGTCAGTGAGTTAATGACATGAGGGGACGGCAAAATGGATCTTTGCCTAGGGCGGCAGAAATCCTTGCACAGGCCCTGCTGACACACACTCATTCATTGACAGACACACACACACACACACTGACAGACACACAAACACTGACATACTCACACTGATAGTCACACACAGACTCAATGACAAATAGACTCTCGCTGATTGACAGACACTCACAAACACTCACAAACACACAGTAACAGACATACACACACACACACAAACACACACTGACAGACACACTCATACACTCACATGCACACACACACACTCACATACACTCACAGACACACTCATACACTCACTCACAGACACACACACTCACAGTCACACACATACACACATGCACTCACAGACACACACACATTCACTCACTAATTATTAATATTATTATAATTAAAAATATTCCAACCAGCCTCCCTACCTGGAGAGCTGGCATGGGTCTGTCATTGGGGGTCCGGTGGGGCTGCTGTGAGGCGGGAGGCTGTGTTAGAATCAGAGGCGGCGAGGGAGCTGTGATCTCCCTGCTCTGCTCCCTTGCACCTCGCGGGGCGTCTACTGATGCCGGGTGCCACAATGATGTCATAATCTGGCTTCCGCAACATCAGCAAACGGCACGCGAGGCAGCAAAGCAGAGAGATCACAACTCCTACGCAACCTCGGATGCCAATACAGCTGCACACCGCGGGGGTCCAAAAGGTAGCCTGCAGGCCAGCCCTTGGACCCCCCCATGACAGGGAGGGAACACTGGGGATGCCCAAGTGGGCGCTTGGGGGTCACTTGTGCTAAATACAGCACTAGCGACACTGAGTGACTGGTAGGAGAAAGCGCTTCCCTCCTTCCGGTTACTCGAATCTTGCACCCCCAGAGCCAGTGCACCTTAAGGCACCCACCTGTGCCGCCTTATGGACGTGCTGGCCTTGTACAGGGCAAGATTCCGTGGGTGCTGCCTCTAGTGATAAAAAGGGCGTGCCATCCAAAGCCACTTTTATTCTAGATGGAAAGGCAGTCCTGCGCAACAGCAAATGAGAGTCATCTGCATGCACATCATGCATGTCTTAGTTGGGTGTTTGGGCAGACATGCAATGGAATAGCCAGATGTCTACACTACTTTATATATGGACTTTCCCAAGTGCAGGACAACCTGGGACAGCAGGAACTGGACTGAAGTGGTTATTGTGTAGTGTACAGTTTCAGTTTGAACATATATATTATAGTGATATATTACATTACATAGCTGCTAGAGTTGGAATGCTACATCCAGCAGCATCATTGGCTGCCCTCATAACTCCTTCTCTCAGCCCATTCTCCAGGACGTCCCCACCCCCACAGTAAGGGAGAGTTATTTCACCTGATAAGCATTGGGCTGTAGAGAAAAATTGGTAGTCCCTCTCATTGTAAGTGTTCCTTTCCCCAATTTTTTAAAATGTAAATATTATTATACATACTCAATATCTCCTATTTTTAAAAGCATGTCTTGATCAACACGCATTCTAACAATTACTAATAATGTAATTTGTTGTTAATAAAGGAATTGTATAAGAGTGACAGTCACGCCGTATACACAATAGATAGGAAGCGGTTTGTTTTCAACATCATTTTACTGCGTTAATTACATTTCATATTTACATTCATTATTCATGAAAGTGAAAGAGCTGTTTAAAAATACCCTGTTCCCAGCAAAAAGAATCACAATGCCAGTGGACTGTTTTTATACCTGGAAGATTATACTATTAACACACCCAAGTGGTTCTGTGTAATTTCTAAAAGCACCTGAGAATAATTCACCTGCACGGATTCTGGTCTCACTAAAATGACACTGAAGGGATGGACAAATGCTTTGTTCCATTTCACACAAATGTACATAACTTTTGGTAGTGGCGGAACTAAAGTAGAGAGGGCCCTGGCTCAAACATTCTTTTGGGGCCCCTCTATCGCAAAGATGAAAAAAAGGATCTACCATTTGATCATCATTGCAAGGTTGTATTTTTAGCACTGGGCAGCATGTTTTTATATGGAGTATGTGTGTGTGAATGTATTGGTGTATTTGTGAGTTGTGTGTGTTTTTATGTACTGTTACCATTTGAAAGCAGTGGTTTACTAGTGTGTAGTATTTGACTTTGAATGTAGGGCTGTGTCTGTATGCAGTGTTGACGTTTGAATTTGTGTGTAGTGTTGGCGTTTGAATGCTGAGATGTATGTACATATACACTGACACACACACACACACACACAGATACACTGACACACATACAGATACACACACTAACACACATACAGATACACACTGACGTACATGCAGATACACAGATACACACAATAGCACTCATACAAATACTGACACACACATACAGATACCTAGACACATACATATACACAGGGGCACACACTGACACACACAGATAGATACACTGACACACAGAAACACAAACACACATACAGATATTGATGCACACATTGACACACACTGACATAAACAAACACAAACACAGATACACATACAGATAGATACACTGACACACAGACACACAAATCGATAGATACACTGACACACAGAAACACAGATATACATGCAGATAGATACTCTGACACACATACACACAGATACACATACAGATAGATACACTGACATGCATACACACAGATAAACATACACAGACACACATACAGAAATGTATACACACAGACACTCATATATACTTGCACACATACAGATACACAGATATATACAAGACACAGATACAGACACACGGGCATACAGATAGATATGCTGACACACATATAGATACGCATACAGACACACAGATATATTCATATGTAGACACACATACAGGCAAAATGTACATATTTTAAGCCACTCTCTTGTTTCCTACCTTTTGGGTGCAGGAGGGTGACTTCCTTTGAGTCAAGTCAGCTGGCTAGTTGGGAGTCTGAGGATCTGACTCAGAGAATCCCACTCTGCTCCCCTTCTCTCTGTCTCCCTCCCTTGTGACTTTGCACTAGCTGGGAGGAAATGACTGGCTGTCACTTCCTCCCAGCGCTGTCAATACTATATGGGCCCGGTCGCACTTTTAAAGGGCCACAGCACTAACCAGGTCCCTGAAAACACTTTTGCCATCGGAGGGCCCGAAGTGATTTGGCCACCCCATGAGCCCCCTAAGTATGAGGGCTTCAGTGCAGCCACTCCGTTTGCACCAGTAGTAGTTCCACCACTGACTGTTGGTCACATGAAACTGACAAAACCCAATATTTGCCCAAATTATTTAAAAATGTTTATGAATCATTTTTTTGCACATCGTTCCTATGAATGCAACATACATTTGAGTGTATTTGTGCAAATGCTAAAAAAAACATTTGTCAGTCCCTAAAAGGCACTTCCCTTTTTAAAATAAATGTAATGAACAAAAGGTCACAGGATTTCAAGAAAAACATATGTGAGAAGACTCAGCCAGAGAGAAGTAGAAATAGCTGATGCCTTATTCGGAAAGTATGTGTCGTTGACATATTCTATAATTGTCATCACTGCCGCCATTGTCTCTTCACAAGTTGGACGGATCTGGTCCTCTGGCAAAATAAACTGGAGATTTCCATTGTCTCTTAACTCCAGAGTAAATGAGAAATCTACCCCTAGATCATGTACCCAATCTTGTGAGGTTCCAGAAGCTTTATCTGTAGAAAGAATTTACAATTATGAATAAGCGTTCAATACAATAAAGACAAAAAAACTAAGTAATAAGATGTGTAACAACTAATAATAATAATGAAAATACATTAATTCTGCCACAGTTAAGCACTGGACAGAAACGTGTTAGAATAAAATTTTCTTGTGCTGTGTTCATTTCTGCACCAACCTATAAAAACACATTTATTCCAATAAAATTTCACACTTTGTGTATACTGTACTGGAGCTGCAGGTAGGAAGAACGGCTGTACTCTGTCTGTAGCATCTTATGTTCAGCTGAATTAATAGAGAGTTCTAGGCCATGCTGACTAGAATTTTAGCATCTCACAGCATGCCTTCTTTAGATGGTCTTGGTTTAAAAAAAAAATTAAAAAAATATATATGTATATATATATATATATATATATATATATATATATATATTGATACAAATTATATCTATCCTACTAGCTGAACACGATATGGTTCCTTTTTTTGATATTTCTTTTTCTTTAGGGTTATATCATTAAATGAAAGAACATGAACAAATGAAGACAGTAAAACACTTTTGTATAAAGTTACTTCAAGACAATTATATTATGACTTTTAAGCAACAACGTTTTTGTGTTACTTTAACCCCTTAAGGACCAAACTTCTGGAATAAAAGAGAATCATGACATGTTATGTGTCCTTAAGGGGTTAAATTGATGCCTATCGTTTTATCATTTAGCTTCCATAATGCTTTGTCATTATAAAGCAGTTTAAAGGCGTGCAAAGCATCATGGGAGTTGTAGTTCTCCAACTTCTGGGGATCTACATTTTAGGCACCCCTGATTTAGGGGATTGTCACTTTAGGATAGCACCCTTTATTTATTTTCAGAGGCTATTGTTCGATACTCTCTATCCATAATCATTTGGGAGTATCATTTAAAGGAACACTCAAAGCACCATAGTATTGTGCCTTCCTGAGATAAGTAGTCAAATTGATTGCATAGGGCCACCGGTCTCAGCCGCCATTGAGCTAAAGCATGCCATGCAGAGCTAGGTCATGGGCTGAGAGTGTTAGCTGAGCAATGTTTTAAGCCAGTCAGCTAAGCCCTGTACTGTTTGGTTTAAGTACTTACCCTGGGCACTCTGGGCATAACAACGACAATGCATTGTACTGGTTATGGTATTTGAAGTGTTTCTTTATAGCACATATGGCTGGAGGAGATAATGGGTGGACAATAAAAGGCTGTCACAGAACCATACCTCCCCTTTTCGGGAAGCTATCAAAAAATTAGATTTTAATTAACTTTTTATGAGATATTTGCAGTCTGGCTGGCACAGTCTTCAACTGGCTAATATAATTACTTAGAGAGTGGCATTAGGAATGTGCTCATCTGCACCAACTCAGAGCCATGTTATGCAATATTGTGCCATATAACATACCAACAACATATAATCATAGACCGACAGCAACATTTATGGAAGTCGAATAAATGCACAATATCAGAATGTCATAAGATAATTCCATGACTCTTACATAGGAGCTCTGCAAAAGTCCCCACAGTGTAATCCATGCCATGTTTCTTCTTTAACTCGGTGGCTGCCATCTGTGCTACTTTGATCTAATGGGAGGATAAATGTATAGTGTAAATACAGTCCAGTATGGTGGTATAAGAAATGAAGAGTCACAGGATCTGGCATATTACGTATTCAGTAATCAGGAATTAAGTTCCCACACTTCTTACTGTAAAGGGAGGACCACTGCTTACAGTTTAAGAACACTCATACAGAGCATTGGGCACACTTTGCCTATTAGACATGTATTATATGTTTTAAGAATACCCAAAGATATGTAATTGGGCATTTTAATGATCATGTGGATGGGTGTGGTTGGATGGTTAAGTAAAGGATGACACCAGTTATTTAATGGATGGGAAGGGGACTTGACCACTTACCATGGCGATGTTCTCAGTGGCATGTTACGGAGCCAAGTGAACACGTGATCACGTGTACACGCTGGGTTAGAGTTTAAAAGCGGCAATGGTCGTCCCTGGAATAACTCGTGCAAAGTAAGGTAGTGAGTACTTGGGTGTTTAATTTACTGGGGGTATATATTGTCTATATATGTTACAGACAGTGCAAGCTCTGTCCTGATAAAAGTTTTAATTGTAAAACATTGATTTTTTTCATTTTTTTGAGCTAAATAAAAGTTATATTTTATATTTTTTAATAAGTCCTGTGAGTGCTATCTATATACTTGTTTCTGGATTGTGGCTGACAAGCACCGGTCACTTAAAAGGTTCATATAAGGAGTAAAAGATGATCTGTTTATATATATATATATATATATATATATATATATATATACTCATATACATATATCTTACATACATTCAGCACAACATTGATCAAGTGGTGGCACAGTAAATGTCTCATTACATAATCCAAATGTCCATAGTCATAAGTCTTAGATAGAAAGCTAAACTAGTTAATGCCCAGTATCCACACCATTTCATTATAATTCCTTGGAAGTTCTGTGGTGTATCCATAAGCAGTCAGGATGAGTTGACCATATGAGTGGATCGTTAGGTAGGAAATAATGTCAGACTTCCTCTTCTCGATTAAATCCACCACTGCCTTGGTTTCTGGCTCAGATGCAGGAGCAGTTCCACAGAAGGAATTGGTACTGCAGTTTGTGGAAGATCCA